GACTTTTGCCCAGGCTATGCAGACCAACCTAAGTGGCCTGGATCAAACGCAGGCTGATTGGCACCCCAGCGCCTGGTCCCATATTCTAACCCTGGTGATATTCAAGGCCCTATCATCTCAAGGCAAGAAGAGGCAGTGAGACATGAATCCAAGGAAATGCCAAAAGTGTTTCTTTGCAAGTGCACGCTGAGCCAGCCTAAGCCACCCACCTAACATCCAGGCCTTCTTGGGACATAGAATGGGATCAGGTCGGAGCCACAGACCCACTAAACTGTGGGAGAGTTTCAAGACAGAGCGGAGGCCTAAGTGAGATCCCCAAAGGGGCAGATTTCATGGAGGCACATCCAGGCCCACATACCCACAAGCTCATCCCTCTCCTTCTGACCCTAGGACTCTAGCTCAGGAGGATCCTTGTGGCAGCCCCCAGTCTTATCAGGGTACCCCCTCCAAACTAGATGTGCCACTAATACAAGGAATTGGGAGTCAGGAGAGACTGGACTTAATACAACTCATCCACAGCTCACTTTGTGAGCTTGGATATCTCTGTATCCTCAACTGTGAAGTGAAGATACTGAGGCCTGCCCCACACAGCTCAGAATTAAGGTAACCTACGCAGGTGTCTGTATGTTGTAAGCCGGCGTACAGATACAAAAGATCATTTTTATTAGTCCACAGAGTGGGTTCTTATTAAATGACAAAATTCTCTAGAAAGCATGTGTAGGTTGGGTTGACCTTCCATATTTGTGAACATGCTCATGCTGGTCCCTGGCGGAGGCCGAGGCCTTGTCCACATGGCTCTGTGGGCTTTGACGCACGCTGACCTCTGCAACATGTACTTATCTTCCCACATGCCCAAGGAAGACCTTCTTCCTCTCGGACGTGCAGACATAACAACATCCTCTCCCAAAGCTGATTTCCATTGAGACACCATAGCTCCTTTCCCATGGGAGTGTTACTCATTCAGTTAGAAAGTACATCAGACATTTCTGTGCACTGAAACCCAGCTTGGAAGACTCTCAAAACAACGTGGGCCTCCCGGTTTGGCCTTTCCCAGTGCTACTGAATCAGCCTGCTTCTCCCTTGTTGGCTCCCACTGAGGCTGTTGGAACCACCTGCACAGTGTGCTCAGAGGAAAAGCGGAAGATTGCCACCATCTTGGGAGTAGCAATTCGGGGCAGTAGTCAATATAGGGGCTCCAGTGCCCTGAAGCATGGGTTCAAATTCTGGCCCTGACACCATCTGTTAATGCTGGGCTCTTTATCTATAAAATGTGGATAATATAGTAGTTCCTGCCTCATCAGTTTATTAGTATCAAATGACATTTATTAGTATTAAATGACATAATGTGTGTTAAAATGCACTTTCGTCTTATTACCGAGTTTGTGCCTTTAGCTACTGACTGAACTTCTTCATGCTTTTGGCTTTTCCTTTCTCATATTAACTGTTCCAAATAAATAATAATAGAACTAACGATAAACAAATAAATGCCTTCTGCTAATTAGGAAGGTTATTATGTAACATGTGATTTTACCCAGGCTTCAGGACTTGCTCCAGTGCCTCCTCTCTGGGGAATGTTCCACAGCTCCTTGAGGTTGGTTTACCTGCTCCACAGGAGTGCTCATTTGCATAAGTACTCCTGGCACTGTATGTAATGGTTCATGTGTGTTTCTCCTTTCGATTATTAAAAACTTAAGGGTAAAAAAAAAAAAAAGCAGATCACACAGTGCCTTGCTGAATAGATAATGTTCAATAAATGGCAATTGTAGTATTATTCTTTGGAATTATTATTCACATTCATTCTGCTACAGAAACGTTTTGCTATCTTCTGAAATTACCACTTTGGGGGTGTCCTTACAGGTGGAAGGAGAGCCTGCGAGTAGAGAAAGTTGTCAAAGACGCACTTGCTCTTCTTTTGGCAAGAGGTAGGATGAGATCCATCTTTTCTCATTGATAAGGCTCTGGATTCAACTGGAAGATTCAATTAAAGTACCACAGTTTCTGAGTATTTCATTCCCTTGGGGGTAAAAAAAAAAAATCCCAGATGACCATGTGACCAATGGGTCACAGGACATCTGTCCTTTCAGGTCATAAGTAAAAGGTAGTATCTTCCCTGTGATGGTTGAAATGTGGGGACACTGACTTTTTGGTGTTGATAGTACCTTCCCAGAGGAGGCACACTTAAGTACCTGCTGAACAAATGGATGGATGAGTCCTCGGGTGACAGCTCTGCACCTGCGCCTGAAGCAGCTGGAGGAACTGATGCTGGACACAGCCCTGACCTTTAGTCAGAATTAAAGAGCAAAATGTAAAAGGCTATTCAGACTCTGTACTTCAAAGGTGTTGCCTCTAAGCCTCATGGTACAAGGCAGTGCTATGGACAGGAATCGGGGACTCGGGGATTCTGCCTCCATACCATCTAATGACAACCACATGCCAGGTACTTCATCTGTATCAGAGCTAAACCTTACAAGGAGCCCGTGGGTAGAATGTGTGAGCTCATTGTACAGATGAAGGAACAGCAGTCCAGACTAAAGACTGCCCACAACCCCACAGACTAGAGTCCTTGTCTGTCTGCTCCGCCTCTTAGAGAGGAACCCAAGTTGGCGAAGAGGTAAGGACTTGTTCTCTTCCTCTTTCACATTTCCAGACCTACTGCAGGAGTGCTAGGCTCTGGAGGCAGGCTTGGGGGCTTCCTCCTGACAGTCCCCCGAGAACTCCAGGAGGGCAGCAGAGAGAGGCAAGGTTTGCCAAGTTTGGAGAATGTGCATTAGGCCAAAGCATAGCACAGAACTATTTACTGATATGGTCGCAAGACCCGCTGATCTCTCTCATTTCTTTCTTTTTTTTTTTTTAAGATTTTATTTATTTATTTGAGAGAGAGAGAATGAGAGAGAGCACATGAGGGGGGAAGGGTCAGAGGGAGAAGCAGACTCCCTGCCAAGCAGGGAGCCCGATGCAGGACTCGATCCAGGGACTCCAGGATCATGACCTGAGCCGAAGGCAGTCGCTTAACCAACTGAGCCACCCAGGCGCCCAATCTCTCTCATTTCTTAAGTGTCTCTCTCTCTCTCTCCCTCTCTCTCTCTCTCTCCCTCTCTCTCTCTCTCTCTCTCTCTCTCTCTCTCCCTCTCCCTCTCACTGTTAGTGTATCCAAACAAATAACCAACACGTATGTTAATGGAGACGGATATGTTCATGAGACTCATCAACACCTTCCTGGGTCCAGGACAAACTCAATTCCACAGCTGAACAGACACAAGTGTTTGTGTTTAGACTTATCATACACTCAAGAGAATTCTAAAAGACTGGCTTAATCTTTCTTGAAAATCCACTTGGCCCCTGCTGGGATTACCCAAACCCCTTTGGAAAGGGATGGCCCCAGTGTTAGCAGCTACTGGCTCCCCGTTCAGAGAGCAAGTCCTTTCACAAGGCTCAGCTGTTCCTCAGGCATCCAGGAAAGCTGCTCGCGCAAAGGCAGAAAACATGACAACTGTTGGAAACCCTCACACAGTCTATGGGAGCAACTGAAGGTTTTCTGGAGCAGCCCTATTATTCAGTTTCTATAAAACACCCACTAGCTACATGGCACCAATAACTGAATATCTCCATTCTTATCAAGTCCATGACACACAGGCCACACTGCCTTGCCACTAGCTTTAGAAAGCATAAACAACTTCATTAACCATCCAAATGCACATGCACAGAGGGACAGGGAAAAGAGAAAAAACAAACAAAAAAACCCCCAGCTTTCCTGAGTTCTGAAGGACCAAGTTCAAAGATTGCCCAACGAGCAAAATAAAAAACCCGTAGCATTTCAACACTGCCAACTAATGTCCCTCTCACTTCAGTGGTCAAGTCTCCAAGACATTTACAATTTGAAGACGTTGGTAGAGAGGATCTCAGTGCCCTGGGAACCATATCAAATGATTCTTTTAAAACTTCGAAGGGCCTGTATGCATTTTCCTCATGAAGAATCTGTCCAAAGGATTTTGAAAACACTTTAATATACTTTGCTTCCAAAACATTACACACTATTTCTCTGACAAATTTATATGTGTTTCCAGAGAACTCCTGGACCAAAAAAAAAAAAAAAGGTACTTAGGTAGAAGAACGTCTGGAGCTTCTTTTATGCCAATATGTGAACAGACCTTCTCTTTTAATTGTTATTATTTCATATAGCAGCAGTAATCATTCCCTCATCTGCAAAGGAAATATATAATCCAGCTGTGGTGGCTCCAGTAAAAATACCACATCTGTGGATCATTGACAACACTGTGGCAAGATTGCTCAAATCTACACAGTCCCAGAAAGTTCTCTTTTTTACTCAAGATGCACAAGGGTACACTTTTCTCAAAGTGCATGTAAACTTTGCCAAAACTGGTTGCTCCTTTGTATCCTGATAATAGGTTTCAGATTGTCCACCCCCCGAAGAAGGATGCTCTCTTGGAATATTATGCCCAGGACCCAGTCGTTAGAAGTCCCCAGACCCCTCCAGAATGGAGGCTTGTGCCAATGTCCTTGTCAATATCAAAGAGCACAGGGAAAATGAACACCCCGGGTTTCAGGACCGCGGGGCTGGCGGTGGAGCTGACTGCTGGTTTCCCACTTAGGAGACCGAACAGCTTCCGCAGGAAGGGTGGCAGCCACTGTTCTGGTCGCCGTTCTCTCGTTTCTCCAGTGGATGCAGTCAGAGTAGGACCGATCACTGGGTGATGATATTCCAAGAATCGCCCCACCCCCACCCCCATGAGTCTGGTCTTTTCCCAAAGCCCAGTAGCCAGCATCTTATTTCTAAGCCAATCTTCCACATTCAAATCCCCAGCCCAAAGCGCGCCCTGGGGGTTTCTTTCCACAGACGTATAAAAGAAAAAGCGCGTAGCTGAGCCTTGACCGACTTTTATCCCCCAAACACATGCTGGAATGTCGATGGCCCCGAAACACTCGGGGTCCCCTTCCATCCCAGACAATAGAGCAAGAAAATAAAATGAAAGTGGACTTACTGCTATGGCTTGCAGCCTTTCCTTGTGCAACTCCGCCTCTGCCATCCTGGAGAAGGGCACACAGGGACGGGGGGAAGAAAGAAAAACAAGACACACGCTGTAGTCACCCCAGGAAATGGATGGGCACCCCGGGGGGCTGCGCTAGAAGCCCGGCGGAGAGCCGAGGGGCGGCCGGGATCCGCTGGGGGAGGGGGGCGGGTGGCGGGCAGAGCTGCGCGCACCGCTGGCTCACCGCGGCTCAGCCTCCGGCCCCAGCCCGCCCGGGCGCCTAGATGCGCCCCAGCGCCGCCGCGCCAGTCGGGGACGCGGGCCACCGGCAACCGCCGGGAGGGCGCGCCCGCCCCGCGCAGGTCCTCCGCCCTGACGTCTCGCCGCCTCGCTCCGCCCCTGGGGTGTGGGGGGACCTGCGGCCACCGCCCCCCGTGGCTCTAGGCGGGCAGGCGACGCCGGGCTGTCGCCGCGGGGGAGGTGGGGACCCTAAGGCGCCGACGGGGAGCGCGCGTGCGGGTGGGCACCTGGGGCGCGGGCGCACGGCGAGCGGCTAGGGCGCACGGCTGGCTCCGGGGTGGACGCGCGCTCTCTGTGGAGTCTGAGCAGGGCAAGGTGGCGCCAGTGCCAGCCAGCAGAGGGGCCTCTGGCAGAAAGCGGGCCCCAAGCACGTGCTGTGACGTGCGGGCTGTGGCCACCGAGTGTTCAGGCCGCCTTCTAGCGCGGGCCAGATGCTTGGGCTCCACGTGGTGACACTGCCAGTAGGGAAGGGCTGCCTCTCCCACATGCCTTAGATGGCAGTGTCCTCAAAGGTCAAGTGGGCAAGGGCAGGGGATAGCTCAACACAGGCTACCTCTATGTGAGGCCAAATGTGGCTTAGAAAGACAGCGGAGAGTCTGTAGTCTCTGGCGCTCGGCTAGGTGGGGCTTGACAAATCAGCTGTGAAAACGCGAGCAACTTGCCTACCCACTCTGAACCTCAGTTTCCTCATCTGAAAAATGGAGTGTGGTCAGTAATTAATGAGATTAAATATATAAAGGTGCTTTGTAAAGGGCAAACTGTTCTTATCGTTATCCTGTGACATTCTGGGTTGAAACTCTTTGAGAGTCTTTATTTCTCTACACAGTCTCTGAAAGGAAACATAGGATTGGGCCACTAAATGCTTTAGCTATTCCTTTAAACAGTACTAAAGTGCATCTTTTGTGACCGGCCCTGGGCTGAATGTGAGAGATGGATAAGACCAAGTCCAAAAAGGAAATAAATGCTAAATACAAACAAAATACCTCTTAACATTCAGGAGGGACCTGCTAGAATTCCAAACATTCACAAGGAAACTTTCCTCCATAAAATGAAGTAATAAACACTGAATAAAAACAAAAACCCAACCTGACTTCTTTAGACCCTTGATGATTCTATAAACGCAGGACTTGAAAGGCATTTTAAAAGGTATGCACATCGAATTTCCCCAAATCACCTCTTTTCCTGGGCAAATTCTTGCAATTCAACTAAATTGCTTTTTCAACTTTCCACAGAGGTTTTACCTGTCACTTGATGATCAATTACTACTCTGCCAGAACACTGAAATTGTCACCAAAACAGTTTTGCTGACTGTTTTCTCTTCCTTTCCATAAGGGGTGTAGGTGGATGTATTTGTGTCATAAATCCAAGCCAATGCCAGATTCAGCATCCCACCCCAATATAGCCAGAACTCCTACTTTCTGGCTAAGATCTATCACTTTCTTCAAACACTTCATTTTCTCCTCACTTCCAGCACCAGCTCCCACAGGTCAAGTTCTTTGCAGGGTGTTTGCTCACAAATAAACAAAGCTGTTATTGCTTCAGCAGAGTGACTGTGTACCCAACAACAGGAGAGAATAACAAGATGAGAAAAGTGAGACCCGTGAGGTTGAGAGCCTCAGCCAGAGTCATAAAGCTGAGATTTAAACTCAGGTCAGACTCTCCAGAGTCCATGCTCTCCACCACTCAGCACCAGGCTCAGCCAGTGATACAAAGGTAGGGCAGGACCCTATAATAAGCAAGTAATAAACAGCTAATGGTCCTCCCTTGCCCCTTCCTTAAAAAGGAATAGAGGAGCACAACAATGTAAATGGACTTAATGTCACCAAACTATACACTTAAAAGTTGTTTAAATGGTAAATTTTATGTCATGTATATTTTACCACAAAAAAATTTTTTTTGAAAGGAGTCATGGAATGGGAAAAGATATTTGCAAATGTCTTATCAGATAAAAGGCTAGTATCCAAAATCTATAAAGAACTTGTCAAACTCAACACCCAAAGAACAGATAATCCAATCAAGAAATGGGCAGAAGACATGAACAGACATTTCTGCAAAGAAGACATCCAAATGGCCAACAGACACATGAAAAAGTGCTCAACATCGCTCGGCATCAGGGAAATACAAATCAAAACCTCAATGAGATACCATCTCACACCAGTCAGAATGGCTAAAATTAGCAAGTCAGGAAACAACAGATGTTGGCAAGGATGCAGAGAAAGGGGAAACCTCTTACACTGTTGGTGGGAATGCAAGCTGGTGCAGCCACTCTGGAAAACAGGATGGAGGTTCCTCGATAAGTTGAAAATAGAACTATCCTATGACCATCAATGCACTACTGGGTATTTACCCCAGAGATACAAATGTAGTGATCTGAAGGGGCACGTGAACCCCAATGTTTATAGCAGCAATGTCCACAATAGCCAAACTATGGAAAGAGTCAAGATGTCCATCAACAGATGAATGGATAAAGATGTGGTATATATATTACAATGGAATATTATGCAACCATCAAAAAATGAAATCTTGCCATTTGCAATGAGATGGATGGAACTAGAGGGTATTATGCTAAGCGAAATAAATCAGTCAGAGAAAGACAATTATCATATGATCTTACTAATACGAGGAATTTGAGAAACAAGACAGATGATCATAGGGGAAGGGAGGGAAAAATGAAACAAGATGAAACCAGAGAGGGAGACAAACCATAAGAGACTCTTAATCTCAGGAAGCAAATTGAGAGTTGCTGGAGTGGAGGGGGGTGGGAGGGATGGGGTGGCTGGGTGATGGACATTGGAAAGCAGATGTGCTATGGTAAGCACTGTGAATTGTGTAAGACTGATGAATCACAGACCTATATCCCTGAAACAAATAATACATTATATGTTAAAAAAAAAAAAAAAGAAGAAGAAGAAATGGGCAGAAGACATGAACAGATATTTCTCCAAAGAAGACCTACAAATGGCCAACAAACACATGAAAAAATGCTCAACATCACATGGCATCAGGGAAACACAAATCAAAATCACAATGAGATACCATCTCACACCTGTCAGGATGGCTAAAATTACTAAGTTGGGAAATGACAGATGTTGGTGAGGATGCAGAGAAAGGGAAACCCTCTTACACTGTTGGTGGGAATGCAAACTGGTGCAGCCACTCTGGAAAACAGTATGGAGGTTCCTCAAAAAGTTGAAAATAGAGCTATGCTATGACCCAGCAATTGCACTACTAGGCATCTACCCCAAAGATCCAAAGGGGTACTTCCACCCCAATGTTTATAGCAGCAATGTCCACAATAGCCAAACTATGGAAAGAGCCCAGATGTCCATAAACAGATGAATAGATGTGGTATATATATACAATGGGATATATATACCACAAAGAAGATGGTGTGTATGTGTGTGCATGTGTGTGTATGTGTGTGTGTGTGTATATATATATATATACACACACAGACACACATCGGAATATTACTCAGCCAACAAAAAATGAAATCTTGCCATTTGCAATGATGTGGATGGAACTAGAGGGTATTGTGCTAAGCGAAATAAGTCACTCAGAGAAAGACAATTATCATATGATCTCACTCATATGTGGAATAAGAAACAAAACAGAGGATCATAGGGGAAGGGAGGGAAAATAAAGCAAGATGAAATCAGAGAGGGAGACAAACCATAAGAGACTCTTAATCATAGGAAACAAACTAAGGGTTGCTGGAGGGGAGTGGGGTGGAGGGATGGGGTAACTGGGTGATGGACATTAAAGAGGGCATGTGATGTAATGGGCACTGGGTATTATATAAGACTGATGAATCACTGAACTCTACCTCTGAAATTAATAATACACTATATGTTAATTGAATTTAAATTAAAAAAAAAAGAAAAAAGAAAGGAATCTTGGAAGGGAGATGGGGTGGGAGAAGAGCCTGAGCATCCATTGGAAATGATCAGTTGGAAAACTCTGAATCTCAGCACGGAAGAATCAGGATTGGGGACACATGTCTGGGTGTCATCTATTTTGAGGTTATAACAAAAGACATGAGAATGGCCAGATTGGGAAAACAGAACAAAAAGAAGAGAAAGCCCAGGAAAGGAGTCTAAGAAAGTATCATCTGAAAAGTAGAATGAAAAATCAGGAGAGATGTTTGTATCAAAAGCCACAACAGGAGGAAAGGGGTTTTCAAAAGGGTCAGATGCTTCTGAGAGATGAAGAAGGATACGGACTAAGAAGGGGTCACTGGCTTGGGCAGTCAGGAAGCCAGAGGTGACAATGGGAGAGCAGTGTGTGTGTGGAAAGTCAGCCTGGAGGTGATTACAGGGAGTTGAGAATGAATGAAAAGTGGAGGGAAAGCATTCATGAGTGTAGACCACTCCTTTCAGATCTTTGGATATGAAAGATGAAGGTGGGTTGGAGGAATGGAAAGGTGGTTTATGGGAAGCAGGGTCAAGCTGAAGAGTCATTAGGTCAGATAAGACTTGAAATGTTTCTGGAATGAAGAGAATTTTGTCATCAGGAAAGTGAGGCCAAAGAAACAGTCAAAAGGGAAAGATAAGTATTAAGTCTCAGATTAGACCATGAGCACTGGTGGCCAGTTTAGCTTTGGAAAGAAGGAGAAATTAAGCAGGGCAGGAGGATGGAATGGGTAGAGACAAGAAGAAATTTTGAGTTGAAGGAGAGACAAGTTAAGTGAGTATGCATCAGGTAGTCTCATTTTCCCACCTCAGGATCATTGGTTGAGACTGATGGGGTGGGGGTGAGGGACTTCAGAAAAACAGAAATAATTTGTAAAGAAGCTGTGGGAAATGGCAAAAATTAAGACATGGTTCCCACCCAGAAGTTTGCATCAAAATTTCTTGGAGTA